ATGATCTTTACTTAATATCCTAATGATTTTTGGCATGAAAGAAAAATCGATAATTTTGGCCCATACAATGTATTGTTGACTATTGCTACAAATATACCCCAGCGACTTAAGACTGCTTTTGTGCTCCAGGGTCACAAATATTCAAGCGTAAAACATTTGAATGGATGTTTTTTTTTTTTTAGGCAAATTAACTTCCTGCTTGACTGGAAGTGATACTGTGGTTTGCAAACTGACCAGAAACTGCAGATCCTGAATCAGCAGGTTTGTGCATCTCTACTTACTCATGTTTTCTCCGTCTGTGTAGATAAACAGTAAAAAGAAGGAATCGGCATGGGAGTTCACCAAGAGTCTGTACGACGCCTTCTCTCTCTCACACACACACACACACACACACACACACACACTGTATGAATGGAAACTGTTGTGAGGTCGTCAGATGCTAGCGTAAAGGACACTGTAACTCAGAATATTAATTATTGAAAATACTCATTGAATACAGATGAGCTGAGTGAAGCTAGTCTGCAGTATAGAGAACCGCAGAAGAGTTATGTTAATTTGGTTTAAAATATTTCTCTCTAAATTCAGTCCCCAGATGATCTTTCAAATGACTCATAACCAGAAACCGCTCTGTTAACCGACTGCAGCTGTCAAACTAGTTCAGATAGAGCAGTGGTTCTCAATGCAGGTCCTGAGGACACACTGCTCTGCACAGTTTATCTGTTTATCACTCAGTTCAGTTCATGGAGCAGGACTCAATGCTGAGGGTTTTTTCTACTGGACCGATCAGGCCAGTGGTTCAATTTTCTTTCTTGCCCTGCCAACATTTTCACTGGCCCTGCCACAAAAAATAAAATAGTTGTTGCTATCATTGCTTTTGACCCTGTTCTCTTGTATTCTAATAAATAAGCTTATATGACACCAACATTTTAGATACCAGTTAAATTTTACAGTTCTCAAATCCAATTTCGTTATCACAGCACTAACAAATATAAAGTTCAAACATTATTAAAGACTGGTGAAGTCAGTAAATACGAACAAATTACAAGCAATAGCCCAATAAATAAACAGAATAAAAATACAAATTAAACAATGCTTTTTTGGTGTTCTTAGGTGTTCAAGTACAGAAATTGAATAATCAAATGTACAACAACGTTGCATTTTCTTCACTGTATAAATTAGATGTAGATTAATACTTGTTAAAGCTACAAAAGTTATTCAGCTAATAAGCAGTGAGTGGTTATTTTTTCTTTCTTTTTAGTTTTTTTTGGATTAACATTAAGGACACTGACAGCAGACACGCGCGCGCACACACACACACACACACACACACACACACACACAAACACCTTTGAGATGTAAGTCATGGTTTAATCTTCTGAACACGTTATGCTGAACTCAGCTTATTTTTAAATTCACCCTGAGCTTGAGCGTTTGTGCTTTTGGTTATTTGTCAGACATTTACTCAAAGCTGCATACAGTAAGCCCTACTACAGGAACAATCACTGTAAAGAAATGTTTGACTTTTACTGAAAAAAAAGTAAATATGCTTAACTGAGAGTTTCCTTACCATACAGTGAAAAAACCGTAAAGGGTCTAACATCACAATATAGTTCATTTTACTGTAAAATACTGTCAAATTTATGGATAAACAGCAAAATGTCTTTCCCACAAGTCCCTGTGTAACACATTACATATGAATATATTTTGTTTCTTTTTAATTATTGTAAATAGTAATGTACGTTACAGGGTTTTGTGTGACGTTTTCTGTTATTCAGCCTTATTTTAATGTCATTTGTTATACTGATGTTTTTTTTTGTCTTTGGGTGTTGCACTATATATGAGTTTATGAGACATGTTTTTTTTATCATTTGTCTTTCTATCACACCTCCTGTATCATCATGGTAGTCATCAGTGCATTTTATGGTAAAAAGCAGATTTTGATCATTTTTACAGGGTTTCTGTGGATCTTTAAAAGTCTCAATTCATCCTTCCACAAATTAAGGCCTGCGAAGGTCTTCAATCAGAGCAGAAATCTTAAATTCATAAAGTCATGCCATTAAATGTTGCATGCGCTGCCAAAAATGAATATCTTCCTCAGTACTTATGTTTTTCAAAACAAATGTCTAAACATCTTACATTTCTTGATACATTCTCAAAACAAGATAATTCTTGGACAGTATATTTCTGTAAAAAAAAAATTTTTTTTATATATATATATATAGCAAAAGATATTGAGTACAAATAATGCTGCAATCACGGAACTTGAGTACAAACTAGAGGTCGGCCAATAATCTGTTTTAACAACATTTATTCTGAAATTGAGTGTTTTTCAGTTCTCTTTTGTGTAACATCGGATCCACGTATACATGCCGCCATCTAGTGAGTGTTTAATGA